TTATCATCGATGTGTAACGATAAGACCAAGAGTAAATCGCTGTACTTAACGCACCGTATCCTCCCACGCGATTGAACCAATTATATGTAAATCGTTACTGCAATTACATCGATTTCTTGCTTTTTTGTGTTTCCTGCAGCACTGGAAATACGTCAAGGTATGTATAACTCCTTTTAGGATATAGGAAAATGATGCCATCTATCAGTGCATCGCGATATTGACTCAAAATTTTCATAAAGCACGTTGTTTAGATCTAGCCTTTGGTGCCACTCTATACCGTTTTATTAGTTACTTATCATATTAATATTATGACAAATAATTAATTTAACATATTTTCTTTCTTTTTTAATAATTATTCTCACGAACCTTTAAATATACAATTCCATTAAAAACCTGCAATAAAAAGAGCGTTATTTAATAAAAATTTGTATTTTTTTAGAAATATTGTCAAAATAAGTATTTAACCTGTTTATTCTGTTTAATAATTGTTTGGTTTCTACTTAGTTTTTTCAGAAAATTGTGTGTGATTAAATCTATATCTATGATATTCTCAAATACTAATAAATAGGAAAACGATCAGTAATATGTTATTTATTATTGTATAGTAATTTTAATTGGGATATAAAAACACAATAATTGTTTGTGTAAGAAAAAAATCGGGTGATTATTACTTAATTACAGTTACCTAAAAAATAAAAGAAACTTTCGGGTATGTTATACCGAGAGTGATACCGAAGGACTAGAATAAGTTACGTGAGTGACATTAATTGTTTTGTTTTAAGCAACCAATTTCAAATAATGGAGGATTGTTACCGTAATAATAATAGCAATGATCTGTTGTCAGTCTTCATATGCGGTGGTTATCCCACCAACGACTCGCGCATTCTTCCAAAAGACTTTTTCTTAACGCACATATAAATTACGAACGTAGTTGCAACGGCCGGTATAATTACTTTCATTACCGTCTTAAAAACATTCATCGTACCGTTACGTGTCCCATCTGTTATTCTTATTCTCCCGTGCTTCTAATGCCTTTATGACAAAGTGGCGTTCATGCCGAAACGGCACGTCAGGAATTACGGAGTCGCGTCACGCGACAGAACAAGACATACCAGAAGTAATGTTCTCGTTCTGCCCTTTACCGCATATCCGACCCTTCACTTCGTGACTCTAGAATGCGAAGAATTTCGACCATCTTGCCGCACGAAGTGACTAATCACAGTGAATGTGATGAGACGCTCACAATCAATCATATTGTGCAAAGCAATTGAGCACTAATTACCAGTCTATTTACGGGAGCTAATTTTAAGAAGATATTTTCTGTAATAAAGATAGCGACTGTAATAGCTCTTTTCGTGTATTTCGTGTATATTCTTACCTTCTTTAAAAATTTTATTTTGATTTTTATTGCCTAACTGATTTTGTTATTTCCCTTGATTTTGCGTTCAAAATCGATTCGTTTTACTGAAAAAGATTAATAGAGTTGAAACATTTTTTACATCATTATTATTCTGAATAAAATTAATTAATTATTTTGCTTTAAATTTTATCTTTTGCTGTTTATTGACCTTGATTTTACTTAATTTTATAAATCGAATGTAAATCTTATATACATTACGGATTTATCACACAGAGTGTACTTATAGATTTAGCAAAGTCTGTACTGAGAGAAAAATGTTTGGTATTTGTAACTATAAATACATATTTGTAACTATAATTATGATTATTACTGCTATAATAATAGTAACAGTAACTATGTATATAGTTCTAGCAACAAATGTATATAGTTGGCAACATAAAATGACTATAATTATAGTCGTTATAACCATAAAATAGTTGAAATTACCATAAAAATGATTCAAGTGACTATAATTTTATAGTTATATTTGGGGACAACTATAAAAAATATGGTTGTCCCCAAATATAACTATAAAATTATATACATTATAACACTATATACATAGTTACTGTTACTATTATTATAGCAGTAATAATCATAATTATAGTGATATGTAATTATAGTTACAAATACCAAACATTTTTCTCTCAGTGTGGGAGCGTGTTTTACGCGTCTTAAGATGAAAGAAGTTTGTGCGGAAATACTTAAAGTTATAAGACCTTAAAACTGCCGAAGTCAGCCGTTTATTATTTCTAAGTAAACGGAGTTTGCCAACAGTTGGCAAACGGTTGTCCGTCGTAATTTGTTATTACGCGGTTTAATGAAAAGAGTATACAAATTGCAGTAACGCAATTGTTACAGATTGTTATTAACGAATTAGTCCAACGCAGATAGGAAACATTTGCGAATTACGTTCAGAATAATAATTTTTTTGTCGCAGCTAATAAAACATAATAATAAATATAAATAGTTGACGTCATATATCATATGATAATTAAATTATATGTTATAAAATGACCGAATATTTATTTGAGTGATTTCCATGAATTTTTGGGACCAACCGGCTTTTTTCTTTGGAATTTAAATACCATCGCTTTATCATCATTTTTATAATGTACTTTTTATGATGCACGTATTGCGACGTTTACGATTGAATCATGTCAATGTTTATAAATTTTACGACGCGTGTGATATAACCGTCGACTTTTTCGATACTGCTATTAATCCTATTCACACGCAACAGAAAGGAACGAGTGTCGCAATGTCGTAAAATGGAACACGTCAAAATCATCCTTTGAGACGCATAGACGCGACTTGTTGCAATTAGTCACGGTTACGAAAGGCGGATGGGAGGCGGATCACGCGCTGTTCTGTCAATCGCTTGACATTTACTCACCTGGCTGTGCAGGACACGCGACGCACGCAACAGTGCATGCGTGTGCGACGCACGCGATGCACACGCTCGCGCGCAGGGGCGGATAATTTTTATTTTTAAATATACACGAATATGTGTAGAGAGAATAATTGTAATGAAAATTTATTGTATCAACTTTGAAAGTATTTTTAAAAGTTCAAAGTATCTTAATTTTATTATGAAGATATTTTTAGCTGGAAATATCCGGTACAAAGAAAGGAGCGTTCTTTTTAACCTTGCATTACTCGCGTGGATTTTTTTTACATGTAGTTACTTGCGTGGGATGTTTCTGCCATTTTATCTCAATTTTCGTTGTTCTCTTTAACGATTTACAATTAAATAAATATTCGTAATATTTTATACTCGCTTTAGATGAAAATAAATACAAGAAATTCTTTTTATAAGTATATAATTTATTTGAAATATACCTAATATTGTGTATGAATATATAACTCAATCTCTTGAATTAAATAACATTTTGTTAATTTTAACTTTCATGTGTGTCCAAATGTAAGTCAATTATTTCTATTATAAATATCGTCCATATTAACGTATATATGTAGTGAACAATAAATTAAAACTTTCAATCAAATTTAATACATTTTCTTGAGTTAAATTCGATTTAACTTTATTGTTTTAAATTAACGACGTATTGAATAAAAGTAGTAGCGACCTATAGAAACAATTAAAAATAACTCTAATTGAGTATAATTTGACATTGTAAATTGAAGTATAACGAATTTATAAGGTTTGGATAACCTGGATACTCTACACAAGTAATGAAGGGTTAATGTTACATTCGATCAGACCAGCTGCTCGAACCCCTAAAAATTATTCAGTTTCGAGTCCTGAAAAAAATTATTATCCGCCCGTGTCCAAGCGAGACCCTCTTTACTAATCCACGGTGACGGTTCTCATCGCTATCTTTTTCAGACTTACACGTGTCTACACGTGTGCGTCCTTGTGAACAACCAACCATGCTGTTCCCCCACCGTAAGTTCATAGCTCTCATTCGTTATCGGCCCCGACGATATGCATGATTTATCGTTTTATTTACACAGTACATCGTCAACTCTCGCAATGTTACGAATTTAAAAAAATTATGTAAAACATGCAAAGAATGCGGTATATTACACTCGCTCCTCGCCTGATCTTGCGAAAAGCTGTCCTTTGTAACAAATGTTCTTCCACGTTATTAACGCGTCATTGTCTGACTAACACCTGCACGTGATGACGTATTCGCAGTGCATGCTCGAGTTGACCATTGGTCGACCGATATGGTAACGAATGCGCCGAGCTTAATGTATGTTTTTAAAACCGGTCTGTAAATCAGCATGCGTTTACTCGTACGCGTAATCGGATTCGGATGTCGGGAGTCGGGAAACGATTTCAGACATCCTGATGATTTTATCCGTTTAATTATCGCTGTTCCTTCTTCCTTGATCTGTACGCTGTTAAATCTCAAAAGAGTAACTCAATCCCTTGAGCTAGATAACGTTTTGTTATTTTTTACTTCTATTAAAATATAAATGTAATTCTATTAAAATATAAATGAATTCTTTTTTGTGAGATTGAATTGCTTAGTTTTAAAATAAACGACGTCCATATTAACGTATGCACTTAGTAAATAATAAATTAAAATGTGATACATTTCTTGAGTCAAATTATTTAACAATGTATTGTACGTGTTTTTAAACAACATGATAAAAAAATTACACATTTCTATATTATGTTAGAAACAGTTGACAGTTTGACAGTTTATGAATTTAACAGTGTACAGACGGGATTTCTAGTATTACTGCAGCTTGAATATATCAGAATTGTGTAAAATTTCGAGTAGTATAATCCGCGCGAATGTCGCATATCTTTATTACGTCATGCGCAAACAGCAGCTATGATTATGTTGACGATACTTGTGCACATTTGACTCATATCCCACGCTTTCGCTATTTACATTATGTGTATGTAACTCTCGACATTCCTACGGTTTTTTCATTTTCTATTCATGGTAATCGCTTGAGTACATCGCCAATGGACTATACCCTTACGCATTCTTATTTTCCTACTTGGCTCTCTGTTTTTTTCTTACGTCAGTCGTTTTGATGTATTTTTTTTGCGCCGCCAGATATGTGCTTGACTCGATGTGAAAAGCGGCAATTAACTTGCCCCTTTTGGAATTTGTTGCAGGCGAGCAGACATGTCGGGGACCTGTTCGAGGATCTACGCGACGGCCACAATCTCATCTCCTTGCTGGAAGTGCTCTCGGGCGAGCACCTTGTGAGTACTTTTCGCGATGCTCTCGGACCGATATTTCTATATTTATTCTCCATTATTATCTTAACCTTTAAAGTGATCTAAAGATACGCAAGTTGGTAGATGGGGTGCTCTTCTAAATACCTTCGAAAAATTTTAATTTTATGGTTATATTTTTTATAGTATTAATTTTTAATCGAAGGATTTCTAGTATGTTAATTATTAGTATGTTAATTTTTATATATACATAGTTAAAGGATATGGAAAAAGTGGTTTCAATCAAATTAGTTGAAACCGTGATATTTGGTTTATGAGATGCTGATCAAAAGTCTCCAAGCACTTTCGGAGGACAGCATCATATAAATAGATTTTGCTGTAGCACTATTTGAAAGTTGCTATTTTGAATCTTATAAAAATTTTAAGACTTCCGGGTTTTCGACAGTATTTTTTATTTTTCTTTTTTAGAACAAAGTTTTTAAAAGAACTATTCCTGATGGGGTCTGGCCACTTCATCTACTCATTTAAAGACATTGAAGATGACAGTCAAAGTCACTCTCTTTCATTATTTTCTCTTTAAAAGGTTAAATAAATTCAATTAATTGTCGAGTTTTATCGCGGATCTGTTTCTTGCGTGGGTGCTTCGTAAAAGTTTGAGTCAGCTCCTTCCTCGGGAACAGAGTATTTGTCGTCGAGTTCTAGAATTGAACTCTATACGACAATTGGATCAAGCAGTGATAATTGTCCTTGATTGAATGTAATTAACGATAAACCGATCGCATTTTTCAGCCGCGGGAGAGGGGTCGAATGCGCTTTCACATGCTGCAGAACGTGCAGATGGCCCTCGATTTTTTACGGTACAAGAAGATCAAGCTGGTCAACATCCGGGCGGAGGACATCGTGGACGGTAACCCGAAGCTCACACTTGGCCTGATATGGACTATTATCTTGCACTTCCAGGTAAGTAACTCAGCATTTTGCAAAACATGATGATAAGCGCGATTCTCCGAGTTAACGATTGTAATAATTCGATGAACTCCAAACGAGCGAGGTTCGCCTTTCGAATCGACCAGGAGTTATGAAGTAATAACGCACGGCCACCCTACGCGTTTATGTCGAATTTACCAGTAACGTGCGAGTAGTGTCGTAAATTTATGCGTCGCGCGAGCTCGCTCGCAAGCATATGTTGTATTTTACGCCCGTTTGGTATTCAGGGAGTCCCGGAAGTCATGTACTCCTTTTCGACTGCGGATCTTTTGGAGTTGAACTTTTCTATAACGAAAATTAAAATACAGAGACCATCATTGTCATGCACGTCACATTTTTTCAGTTTCCCCTATTATATATTTTGACAATTATGTTCCGACGAATTCAGATTTTGTTGCAGTTTACATGAAATTAGATAGAGGGCAAGTTTCGCATTTTTCTAAGTTTAAAGTTTAATTTTCTCTGAGTCGGTAATTGATTTCTGACATTTTCTACATTTTTTAAAATATCAATTCCGAAGTTATTACTGCCTTGTTAAAATAATCGCCAGTTTCTTCCCAGCTTATTCTCTGGTATTTAATATCTACGGCACCGCTTGTATAATGCAAATGAAGCGGCTGCAATGTCAGCATGATGAAAACCGCCCATCGCAATTTGCTGTAATGTGTCCATCGGACTACACGATGCGTCAGTCAACCATGAAACTCGATAGAAAGTGAAATACGTGCAGAGCGTTCGAGAAATATACTTTCTCATAATTTAGTTCTACCATCGAAGCATCAAAAAATTTTAAGCGTTTTTAAACAGTCTGGAATACTTTTAAATGTATATGAGAGGCGTATTGAATTAAATGTTGGACACACAAAAAGGACGAAGTACTTCAAAATTTAGCTGAAAATAATTTTGTTGGACCATAGAACAATAATGTAGGATGCTTAAGTTGGTTGTTAAAATGTTAAAGTTCTCTATAATATTGCTCATCATGCCTGAGTATCCTACATAATCATTTTGATAATTTAAAATATTTATAGATTTATATCAAACTAAACTTCTACATGAAAAGAACGATTTTGCTGAAGTATCTAAAAATTGTTCCTACATAATTATTTGGATAGTTCAACAAAATTATTTTCTGATTTCTGTCTATCTAAATGTTTAGATACTTCAAATTTTAGATACTTCAGAAAATTTTTTTTTGTGTAGAGATTTCAGGAAAAAGCGTTCATTTCGTGTAGAGAAGGAGTTCAAACATAGTAGAACGTTTTTTCAAAGTTGGACAAAATTCATCTTGTCTTTGGAATAGTCCGTACATTAATTTTTGTCGATATGGTTTTAATATTCACGCGGTAATAGTCAGGAATATTCATTAGTCTTTTCAAATCGACTGCATTTAAACGTTGTCGCGACATGGCTGGCGTCATGTCGAAAGTATTTTGCATTTGTGTACTCATGCACGTACCGTTGAACTAACGGAATACGTTGATCCTACTGGGCGCGGCAGTACTTTCGTCGTGTTGGAAATGGCTACTCGGTCACTTGCTGCGGAACTGAACAGGGAATTAAGCTAGCTTTTTCTTTGACGTTTTCTTGATATTATTATTTCGCGTTGCAATTTGCAACACGTGGCGGAATGTTGGACAGGAAACGTTGAAAGTAGAGCTGTCTCTTTCGACGAGCGTGACAACAGATTTTCATTGCAACGCGCAAAGGTGTATTTTTTTAATTACGGGACGCAGGATAATTTGTAAGATAAGGTATTTACTACCTGGAAAAACAATGAAAAAACTTAAAATTTTCAAGGGATTTTTTTACCTTAATATATAGTTTTGTTTTGCATTGCTTGCACTCCAATAAATTTTAAAGTTGCTTTAAAAAATTCTCTAATCTTACTTGGAGAATTAAAAAAAATAACAAAAATACCTGGAAAATTTGGGAATCTCAGGGAATTTTTTTACAAGATTTCAGTAAATACCCTGTAAGATCAACTATCGATTTTGACATTTTCTTTTTAGCTGTCATCCCGTCGAAGTGACGCCGTTTCGTAATAGAACCTTCCTTCCGCCCAATTTGCGTTGTCGCGCCGAGACGCGCTGATGCCTGCTATAGCGAAGCAAATTCTTCGTGAAGGCGTTTTGCACTGCATTTCTCGGTCCGTTGCACTTCGTATCTCACCGGCCAGTGGCCTGTGTCATAAAACTTGACAGGTTGACTATTAGAATGTCAATGAACTCTGATGATTTCCCGGTTCTAACGTGATTATTTATACGTGTCGAGCCTTCCGCTTTTGCAGCTTCTGGAAAAGTGTCTTTCGACGCCTCTCGTCTCTTTGATCACGGCTCGAGATATTGAATTCCAACAGCAAAGGGCGTTCCATTGATTCCGTAACGTAAGATATTCGACGACGCGTCGTTCAAGCGACACGATGAAATGTGATTAGCGTGCGCGTTAATCAAGCGTCGCGCATACCGCGATAGGTCACATCTCGCCGGTGCGTTGTGTGCTATTTTTAGAACTCGTATGTCTCGATGTAACGTTGTGGTAGGTGCCGGTAACGAATGTACATATAGCTCGTATGGAATCACGTGCATTGCCAAAGAAAAGCGAAAGCGAGGACGGCGCGCCGGTTCGCCTCTTGCAGACTGGTCGAGGGTTCCGCACGGCACGAAATCTGCTCAATCTAGAAGGACAGGGACATCTCGCACGTATTATCATTTACACGGAGAGAATTTTCTTTTAAAATTTACCCTGAAAATATGGTGATTGTGGTACAATACAATATTTTAAAGATTTTTACCATGCACTTCAGTAAAATTGATCAAACTTATTTTATACTTTATTGTAGTTTTATTAATGAATAAGAGAGATTTATATCAAAATTCTTCGAAATATAATGTTGTCCCACGATTGTTATATTTTCAGGGTAAATTCTGAGAAAAAATTCTCTCCGTGTAGTGTAAGGGGTATTTTTCGATTTCATTGAAGTCTAGGAATTATCCCCGCCGTTTTGTACTCGTAAGTTTCGATTTTTACATTCGTATCTTAATCACCCAGCAATTTACTTACGCTCATATCTATAATTGCTTCTGCTGAAGAATTTAACTGAAATCAACTGACGTGATACGGTTTAATGAAGATATCTTGGAAGTCAATTTAATATTTGTTACATCATATTTGTAATTGCGATTTAATTGATTTTAATAACTCGGAAGTTTATCTCGACACAATCTGAGATTTATTTCTTGCGGTTCAATAATTGATTTTTAAGAGATGTTCGTATGGGTACGTATAAAAATTTATTATGTTAATAAATTTTTAATCTTACACACTTCTGGAGACTTAACTAAGGAAACTTACGCGATTATACTTATGTGAGAAATTTGTTTAATAAATTTTTAAATAGATTTTAATTTTTTTTAAAATCAAAGTTATTCAACACTAAGAGAAAGGATTTTGTTAATTTAGCAAGGCATCAGTACCTTTAACCGGTGATCGGTAAATATGTAACAACAAATTATGTTGTTGTGATTGCTGCTAATCTGCTATACCAACCAATTATTAGTAACAGACTATATAGAATCTAACCTATCTTTTGGATAGACTTTAGCTCGTTTACATAAAATTCGATGATCGTGGAGTCTTAAGTTGTAGGAAACCGACCAAGCACAGTCAAATATAGGGAGAATACTTGACTAGAATTAGTCAATTTCGTACGATTTGAGACCCTGCAACCGTCTACGACTTTTATGTCATATATATGAGCCTCTTATTTGCTAGCGATACTATTGATTATTTGTTACATTGATGAATTAATTTGCAATCGTAACAAATCGATTGTTTTTTTAACAAATATCACATTTGCTTTCCCTTGATTTGTTCCTATAAC